CAAAACAAATAAACAAACAAAAATACTAAAAAAAAATGGGCAGAGGATATGAACAGACACTTCTCCAAAGAAGAAATTCAGATGGCCAACAGGCACATGAAAAGATGCTCCACATTGCTAGTCATCAGAGAAATGCAAATTAAAACCACAATGAGTTATCACCTCACACCAGTAAGGATCGCCACCATCCAAAAGACAAAGAACAACAAATGTTGGCGAGGGTGTGGAGAAAGGGGAACCCTCCTATACTGCTGGTGGGAATGTAAGCTAGTTCAACCATTGTGGAAAGCAGTATGGAGGTTCCTCAAAAAACTAAAAATAGAAACACCATTTGACCCAGGAATTCCACTCCTAGGAATTTACCCTAAGAATGCAGGAGCCCCGTTTGAAAAAGACATATGCACCCCTGTGTTTATCACAGCACTCTTTACAATAGCCAAGAAATGGAAGCAACCTAAGTGTCCATCATTAGATGAATGGATAAAGATGTGGTACATATACACAATGGAATATTATTCATCCATAAGAAGAAAACAAATCCTATCATTTGCAGTAACATGGATGGAGCTACAGGGCATTATGCTCAGTGAAAAAAGCCAGGTGGAGAAAGACAAGTATCAAATGACTGTACTCATCTGTGGTATAAGAACAAAGAAAAAACTGAAGGAACAAAACAGCAGCAGACTCACAGAACCCAAGAATGGACTAACAGTCACCAAAGGGAAAGGGACTGGGGAGGATGGGTGGGAAGGGAGGGATAAGGTGGTAAATGGCGCATTACGCTTAGCACGTATAATGTAGTGGGGGGGAGCACAGGAAAGGCAGTATAACACAGAGAAAACAGGTAGTGATTCTATAGCATATCACTGGGCTGATGGACAGTGACTGCAATGGGGTATGTGGTGGGGACTTGATAATGGGGGGAGTCTAGTAACCATAACGTTGTTCATGTATTTGTATGTTAATGATAGCAAAATAAAAAATAAAAAATAAAAACCAAACCAAACCAAACCAAACCAAGCCAAAAAAACATGAAATAACAAGTGTTGGTGAGGATGTGAAGAAATTGCAACTTTTGTGCTTTCTGGTGGGAATGTAAAATGGCACAGCCACTGTGGAAAATGGTCTGTTAAAAGTTAAACATAGAATTACACCATTACCAGCAATTCTATTCCAAGACATATACCCCAAAAAATTGAAAATGGCCTGAAATGGGTAATTATACACCAATGTTCCTAGTAGCATTATCTACAATGGCCAAATGGTGAAAATAATGCAAATATCTATCAACAGATGAATGGATAAATAAAATGTGGTATATACAAACAATGGAATATGATTCAGCCATAAAAAGGGATGAAGTTCTGACACATGCTACAATAGGGATAAGCCTTGAAAACATTATACTAAGGGAAGTAAAGCAGACAGAAGTGGATAAATATTGTATGATTTCACTTATATAAGGTATCTAGAATAGGTAAATTTATAGAGACAGGAGGTAGAATAGTGGTTACCAGATGTGGAGGCGAGGGAAATGGGGAGTGACTGATTGATGAGCAGAGTTTCTGTTGGGTGATGGCAAAGTTTTGGAGATGGCAGGTGATGATGGTTGCACAACAGTGTGAATGTGCTCAATGTCACTGCAGCATGCACTTTAAAATGGTAAACCTTATGTTATCTATGCTTTATCACAATAAAAACACACACAAAGTGAAAATGCACATTTCATTTAAAAAGGTGTGTATTAAACCAATAGAACACTTGCTGTTGGATGTGTGGTCAGTGTGTGTGGGTGTATGTGTAGGATGGGGTGTGCAATGAGAATAAAAGGGAACAGAAAATATAACCATGTACAGTTCGGTCAGTAAGGACCAAAGGTGGTAATATGTCATGAACATGGGTGCTGCTTTGAATTTGAGGTCTAAGAAAGAAACGTGCAAACTCATCCTGTAGGACAGAACCCTGGGTGATGAAGGGCTAAAATAGGCCACAAAATTGACATACAGATGTTCATTATACTACTCTTCTTGGTTTATGTTTGACATGTTCATAATAAACAGCAAACTGCCAGGGCTGGAGGTCATAGAGCACAGGGAAGCTAGATAACCTGGGCTTGGAGGCTGCTGTGGACTTACTCACTTACTAGATCAATGTATAGAGACAGAGCATTAAAGACTTTGATCCAGAGTTACTTTCTGGGGCACAGGGTCTAGTAATCCTGTGTACTGGGTGTAGCATGTTCATTTTTACACAGGCCTGCTCTATTTCCTCCAGGGACTGCGGCTGGAAGCCATCCAGGAACGTCTGTGGTGAATGGCATGGCACCAGTTCAATAAGGCATTTAGCTGTTTGATAGGGCAGAAGGCCCTGTGGGCTATGCCTATCCTGGTGGGCTTCACAGAGGTGGTGGTGGCGGGGCACACCTTGGCCTTGAGGGCACACGTGGAGTGGACAGGCAGAGAGGAAGAGGAAAAAAGAGTAGTAAACCCCTTGGCAACTGTAATGAAAATGACAGATGTGGGCAAAGAAAGGGCAGGACCAGGAGGGAGGAGGAAGGGAAGAGGGAGGCAGAAAGGGAGGGAAGAGAAGGAAGCAGCTCATGGGAGGGGCATGGCCCACAGGGCACCGCCAACCTGGTCTGTATACTCACTCACTGACTCATTCACTTGTCCATCCATGCACCATGTACTGAATCCCTACCCCATGCCAGACTCTATGCTGGGGACTAGGGGTGCAGTAGTAAACAACGCAGACAGGGCTCCTGTCCTTGTGGAGATGACATCCACCAGGAGACTGACAGTACAAACCAAGACAAAGGTGTAAGGTAATCTCTGATGGTGATCAGTGCCGGGAGGGAACAGACAGGTGTGAGGCGGGTGGCCAGCAAGGCCTCCAGGGATGTTTAAGAAGAGGCCTGAAGGATGGGAGTAGCCAGCCTTGTGAAAAGCAGGCAGACGACCCTTGCAGGCAGAAAGCACAGCTGTAAGTCCCCCTTGTAGCAGGAGTACTTTGGAGATGGAGAAAGGGGTTGCTGTGGAAACTCCAGCACAGCAGCCTCGGGTACCTCTGCCCAGAGAGGGCACATCTCCCTTCTTTGTCTGAACTTTACTTTCAGAAAGGTCTTCAGGGATCACTCAATCCATTACACAAATGGAGAAACTGTGTCTCAGAGAGGGGCTTTCCTAAGGCCACAGTTTGTTTGTGGGGGAGCCCAAACTTTCCTAAGGTCCAGTTTGCTCACTGGACCCTTAGATTCTTTCCTTTTTTGAAATGGGGCTTTTTCTCATTCGGCCAGGGCCTTAAGAGAACTGGACAGGAAGGAGGTGGCACGAACCTGGTGACCTGGCTTCCCATATGCCCCAGGGGATGTGCTGCTGTGGACTCAGGGCTTGGGGCCAACATGGACTGTTTCTGCCAGATAAAAACAGATGCACACGTATCCTGGGAGCTCGTTTGAACCACAATGACATGGGAGAATTTTCTTGTCTTTTCCAGAGATTTCCACTTTGGGCCTGAAAAAACTTGGGGTGTGAGACTGGGGTAGGGACAGCAAGGAAGGAAAGCTGTTTTCATATGACTCAAAGACCCCCTGGGGAAGAGGAGCAACAGATTTGAGAAATCCTGAAGGACGGAAATGGGTCTCCAAAGAATGGATATTTTAGGAAGGCAGATTTCAGCCCAACAGCAGAATGTATTATCTGATTCCTTACTTCCACTGCCAGAAGTATTCAAGAGGCCACATGGCCATCCATTAAGGAGATGCCTGTGTAAAATGGGGAGATGAATTTCTGCAGTATTTTGCAATTTGGAGTAAAAAACTATATAGGTTTCAGATTTAGATCCAACCATAAGATTAATAACATAACCACTAAACATTAGTTTAATGTATAACTGAAAAAGTGATCCTTTTACCTCCCATTTTCTATGGTTCTACGTTGTTTGGTTGGCCCACAAGAGGCATGTCGCTGGGCACCAAGGTCTGAAGGACCCAGAGCGTTATAGTCGCGGATTTGTTGTGGGGAAGCAACATTGGCTGGGGTGACAGCCTCAAGCATTTCCTTTACTGCCACATGGTTTCATCAAATATTTGCAAGTGCTCACTGTGTTCTGGGCAAGCTACAGGCACTGAATTCTCACAATAGACCTGTGAGGAGGTTCTATCAGTGTCTCTGAGTCTAAGAAATTTGATTCTGTTAATCTTTGTTGTCAGTGAATGGGGACCTTTGAATTCTCTTCCAAATGACTGGAGGATATTTTCATTTGCACGAGTAATTCTGATATAAGGCTGAGCATAGGAAGTTCTAGAAGAGAGAGACCTGCCAAGTTCTCTGCAAGTCCTGAGGAAATGGAAGGGGCGTCTGTGTGTCAGGCCGAGGGGAAGGCTGTGTGAGGAGGGTGTCCCTGTAGCAGAGCTGAATGTGTGTGCACGTGGACGTGCACAGGCACGCTGGCCATGCAAACAGTATCACGTCATTCAATGCCACAGTGTGTTTCCAAAAATGGATTCCAGACCACTCCAAACGCATCCAGAAATCATCCCTGTACTTCTCCTGAATTAAGTAGAATTGGCAAATCGCAATCACAAGAATTGAATAAAGATGGAGTGGGATTTTTTTTTTTTTTTCCGAAAATTGACAACAGCCCACAACACTTTGGAAGCTGGGCAGACAGCAGGGTTCTCAGAGGCTCTCTGATGTCCCTGTACCTGCTCCCCCTTCCGGTCTGACTCTGAGCTGAGACCACGCCCACATCCCTCCCCCCACTTCCGCTGGGGCAGGGAGGATCTCTGCCACATTTTCTGGTCTCTAGGTTTAGACAGAGCTTCTCTGCATTTCTGCCTGACTCTTTTGACCAAATTTTTGGTGAGTTGTGTTTTTTTTAAACCTGGAAACAAGCTGTAACTGAGGGGGAAAATGGTGTTGCTTAATTTAAAGCTCAGTTGTATTTTTCTAAGATTTAGTTCTCTGAAAAGTAGGATGAAACAAGTATCTGTTTACCACAGCTAGGCTTTCTAATTAGCTCCCCTGTGCCCTCCCCTTAAATTCAAAACACTTGTCTCCACATAAAATCTCCCGTAGGTACCACCGTTAACACCCTTCAGAAGGAAGGGCCGGGCACAGCTGGCAACTCCTAGCTTGTCGGCTGCAAGCCATGGAAGGTGTGGGGCATGGACAAAGGCTCGTGCAGAGTGCAGGATCCTGGCCCACTGGAGAAACCTTTGTTGAGGTTGCAAATGTCAGTCTACAGTGAGAAAACATCTGGGGTCACATAAATGGGGACTCAAAGGGCCCCAGGTCCAGATTCGAGAGGCCACTGCAACTTCGACAGTCTGGCAGAAGATGTCCAGTGCTCAGAGGGAAAAGAATCCATTTCCACATTCTTCTGCCCTGGACTCCCACTGGATGTTTATACATCCATGGGAGAGGTTATCTGCATTTGACTTGAGGCAGGCCCAACACCAGGCTTCCAATGGGTAAATCTGGGGGACGTTGCGAAAGACAGCTTGGAGTGTGTGTGTGCCTGTGTGGGGGGATCTGGGGGTTCAGAAGAGGACTCCTTGGATTCCAGGGGCCCACAGAATCAGCTCAATTGCTGGCCCTTTCCAGACACCCCCTGCCAATGAATTAAGGGGTCTTCTCTTGGAGATGTTCAGGTTTGGAGGGGCCTACCTCTGCCTTTGACAAGTTATGTGACCTTGAACATGTCATTTCTTCATCCTGAGTCTGAATTTCCCCAAGTGTTGAAAAGCCTGTGGGATGAGTGACTTGAACCAAATGTTAAGTGGTTCTTAACATTTTGGAGACCCTGGCCTTTTGACAGTCTGACGTAGAATATCTTTCTAGGAAGGATGTTTTATATATACAGATTCCAAAGTTTTGCTTACACATTCAGCAGTTCTTAGACCCCTGGAAGTCTCTGTGAGGACCCTCTGTACAAGCCCCTGACAGTGTTCTGTAAGGTCCCATGGATATTTTAAATACCACTGTGTTGGTGTAAAGATTAATATAATCCAGGCTGTATTTGTTGTCATATATTATTATTATTTTGTTGTTATTTAATTCTGATTTTAAAAGACTTAAAGGGAAAACATTTTTCTGCGCCCATATATTGTAGGCTCTGGCTACTGTGCCTGAAGGATAAACTGGCCCTGCCTGCAGCTCGGCTTTACTACCAGGTAATGCAAAATACAAGGCTGCCAAGCATATGTTTCAAAAAGAGATGCCAGGTATCAGTGGAGGAAGACTTCATGGAAGACTTGAGAGGGAGATGGCACTCTATCAGAGCCTTGGAGGGTGAGCAGGATGAATGGACTGAGCAGAAAAGGCACTCGGGACCAAGGGCAAAGGCCTTGTGGGCAAGCCGTTCAGGGCGTGTGTAGGTAGCAGAATTGGCTGGAGTTTAGGCGTCCCTCCAAACTGGACCCGGGGGCCATTCAGGGTCTTACCAACAGCCCTACCCCACTTATGCACCCCATCTCTCCCACTCCCACTTGAAAACCTCTGAGGACTGAGGCAGAGCAGCCCCTAGATAATCACCACTCATGGAGCACCGAGTAGGACCAGGCACATGGAGCACTTCATCATCCCATTTTATAGATGATAAAACCACGGTTCAGCAAGAAAGAGGCAGATCTGGGTTCACATACAGAGCTCTGGCCTCCTGTCACTATGCCATACTGTCTGTCCAAGAGCTTGCATGGATCCTACCCAGTCAACCCAGATGGAAACCGAGGCCCGGAGAGGAGACATGATTGACCCCACATCACAGGAGTTGGGGATACCATGCGGGTGTCCTGGCTACAGCCCAGAGGCCCTGTCCAGCAGCCGGGGGTGGGGGGGGATCAGTTCCTTCTGAATTCTTGCACTGGCATCATCAGACCTTCATCCTTTCAGCCTCAGAAAGCACCAAGCTTGTTTCCACTATGGCCTTTCCTTCCTCCAGCTGGACCTGCCTAGCCCACCTGTCCACGCAGGTTCCTGAAGACCCAGTTTCTGTGAGAGTCAGACTGAGATATTCCTTTCTCCACAGATTGTTCTCAGAAAGGGGGGGCTTTCTTCTTGGCATTCTCCCCACCCCCATCCCCTGCCCCAGGGGAAGTTTCAGCAAGGACAGAATAGGCTCCTCTGTGTCCCAAACCCACCCTTCCAGTGCAAGAAGCATCTGCCTCCCAGGCTGGTGGTGTTGATGTTATCACGGCGTGAGCTGACTCACCTTCATGACATCTCAGCCCGCTGGGCAGGAACGCGGTTCTGGGCGCCACAGTCTTCCCGGGGTATAGACACACGGGAGCAGTCCCAGGGTGGGGCAGCAGGAAGGCCAGGGGCCTCCGTGCCATGTCCCTGGGAGTAGGCACAATGGCAGGAACAGGCCTGTGGAGTCAAGGGGCGTAAAAGCTGTCATCAGATCTTGGGCGAACATCCAGTAGAACAAGGGTGATAAAGGTTTGAGGCATCCTCAAAGGGTATTTGGACTTTTGGGCAGAAATGATGGGGTGGAGGGTCACTCAGGGCAGAAATGATAGGGGTAGAGGGTCACTCAGTCCAACACCTTACCACAGTCAGTGCTGGCCAAGGGGGAAAGGGTGGTTCAGGGCAGCACTGAGCCATCTTCCAGCAGATGCCTGGCAGGGATGTTGGAAGGAGATTCAGGTACCAGACGGGTGGGCAGGAGTTCCTAGCTGTATGGATTGGAAGGCTTTATGCAACCCTACACCTCTTCCCTCTTCTTGTTTTCTAGGGAGGCAACATGGTTGAGTGGCAAGAAATGCCACCACCTTTAAAGTCAGGCAGCCCTTGTTTAAAGGCTGATTTCTGCCATTTACTACCTAAATGGCCCTTCACCTCTCTGTTACTCAGTTTCCTCTTCTGTGAAATGGGGGCAGTGACAATTACAAGGGCATTTGTAAGAGTTAACTAAGATAATCAATACAGTGGTTTGGCAATAAATGAGTTTTCTTCCCATTTCACAGGGGGAGGAAACAGAGTTTTGGAGCTCTTAAATGGCATACCTGGCCAAGGCTAAATGGTGAGTAGGGGCAGTCGATTTAGAATCAGAACCCAGTTGTCTTCCAGCACAGTGGTCTGTGCCCTACCTGTTTAGGTCCTGTTTACCGAGCACCTCCAGTATGTCTGAATGCAGTGGTGTTCAGTGAGTAGTTATTGCCATCGCCAGGTGCAATTATTATTTTCATTCTACAGATGAGGCCCAAATAATTATGCCAGTCATTCAAGGTCTCACAAATGAAGAAGCAGCAGAGTTGAGATTCTATTTCAAGCCTGACTCCTGAGCCCATGATCTTAACCAGCCCATGGACCAGATCCTCTGTACTGCCTGTTTTTATAAATAAAGTTTTATTGGAACACAGTCACGCTTGCTTGTTTTCATGTTGCTTGTGGCTGCTTTCAGGGCACAAGGGCAGGTGAGTCATTGCAAATTCACCATGTGACTTGCAAAGCCTGAAACATTTACTATCTGGCTAGTTACCCAGAAAGTGTGCCTAGCCCTACTCTTCATCACCATTTTATAGTCTGTACTTGAGAATTTAAAAAGAGAATCTGCTTAACACCAAGACACATTTTTAAGCAGGTAAACTTGACATGAATTTTGTGACAGAGATTAAACTACCACCTGGTGCTCCTTCTGCCCTTCCTCCATCCCTCCCTAAGTCGATCTTCTTGGTCAAGCAGGATGTGCCGAGTAAAACGAAGACAAAGGCACTGTGCCAAGCACAGCAAAAGCTTCTTGTGTTTTGCATTTGTGTATTGTGGTATAGTCAGCAGACTTGTTACTGTTTTATTTACATTTTTAAATGATTTAATTTCATTAGTTATTGATAGTTTATTATAACTATCAGAACTGTATCTTTTCTCCTTTAAATATATAATCTACATTGTGAATATATAATACCCCAGGACCACTTCCGTCCCCAGGTGAAAAAGTGAGATTTTTAATCACAACCAGGGAGATCATAAATTTCAATATACAGGGACTAAAGAACAGATTCAGGCCACAAAAAAAAGATATGGCCACAATGAACCTGAGCAGAAGAAGTACTGCAGTGGGAATCAAGAGACCGTGGTCCTTGATATTGCTCCATCTAGTGAGTTGGGTGATCTGAATTTCTCATAAGCCCTCCTGTGCCTCAGTTTCCCCTTATATAAAATGGGGCTATTGGACTAGATGACTGCTAATGGCTTTTCCTAGTATGACATTGTATTCCCATAAAACCACACTAAAATAAAGCATTTAGGGCAGTTCTATCAAGAAGCAGAGGCTTAACAGAGATGACCTTTGATCCCACAATGGGGATTCTGAACCCAGCAATTCCTTTGGGACTAAGGAACAGTCTACACGTACCAGGAACCCTCCTAATCATTCCTTATTTTGTCACAACACCCAAGACTCTTTTGTCAGAAGGGGAATTTAGATTTGATCAGGGTGGAGTGTCCCAGGGTGGCCAGAGGATGCCGCAATGGGTCTCCATGAAGCGGTGGAGGTGGAAACCAAAGGAGGCAGTAATGCTGTCCTGTCATTTCTGCTTGTCTTGGGATGGCTCTGTCAGAGCGCTGGGGAGCAGGACAGGATGGACTTGTCATCACCATGAGGGGCATGGCTGATCCCGCCTTCCCGCTAATCCCCATCATGAGCACCCTCTCTCTAGGGCACGGACGAAAACCTTTTGGTCTTTATTTCATGTCACTTTTTACAACTTGAAAAGAAAAAGAAGAGAAGGAAATTTCATTGTTTTAATTTGTATCCATTTGATCACTCTGAGATTTAGGATTTTTTTTGTTTAGCTATTTGTATTTTTGATTTTGCGAATGGATCACTCATGGCCTTTGCTTTGCTTTTCCTGTAGTAATTATTTATCTTTTCACTTTTGATTCCTTGAGGTTACATATTTAAAATGTAAATATCTTTTATTTCATCCAGCTTTTACAAAATCAAACCAATTGGATGTAGCAAGAAAATGTTAATAGCTTCCCCTTTTCCCCTGCAATTCTGAACTCCCAGGAAACCAGCTGATAACTAACATTTGCTGGGGAATTGCATTTTTTTCCTGTATTTATACAAACTAATTCAAAATATATCTAATTTTTCTTTTTCTTTTTGATAGAAGTGGAAACATTCCATATCTTTTAACCTGATGTGTTTTAAAAAATTCTACATTTCCATCTGAACTAGCCTTCTCTTAGATTCCTATGCCTCTTCTCTATTTTGCAAGCTCTTTCTGTCACACTCACTTGGAGATTAGACAAGAATCCTTAGGCCACTTTCTTAGATTAGAGAAAGTGAGACTCAGGGAGGAAACCTGATTTACCCAGATATTTTACCAATTCAAGATCGGGATTGAAAACCCCAGGACAAAAACTTTCTGATTCTGGAGGGTCTTCCTTTTCTATGCCAAGTGAAACAGCCCTTCCGCCCTTAAAATTTCCCTCCAGATATACACAGGCTGGAGCTGGGGTCAGAGGAAGTGTCAGGACCCAGGAGTCAATGAAGGAAAAGAAATTCAAACTTTCCCCCAGGTTCTAATCAGTCCTTACTGAGCTCGGTAAGGGGTCAGTTGTCTGCCCTCTCTGGGCTCCCTGTGCTCACTGGGAAATGAAGGCTTTGGCCCAGCCAGAGGATTTCAAACTGTGCTTTTGGGACTGCAGGCGACCCCACAAGTTACTGCTCCTCAGAGTGCACAAACTGAGCTTGTTCAGGGACACTCACAGCAGCACTTGTTTGTGAAAAGTTGGAAGTGATTGACATGTCCACCAGTAGGGGTGGGTTCCATGCAATGGATCATTCATCTATGCATCTCTCCATTCATTCGGGGAATAATTACTGGGTAATAATTACTGTCAGGCCCTGTTCTAGACACTAGGTATCATCTGTGAACAAAACAGACCAAATCTCTACCCTCCCGGAGCTTAGCTTGAAGGCAGGAGCCCCCAGGGATGTGAGTTGCATCCCAGCAAGGGGACACGAGACTGAGTCACATGTCCCAGCGTGGACAGGTCTGCAGGCCATGGGGCTGAGTGGTGGAAGCAAAGTACCAAATTCAATATGGGCTGATTCTTTTTACATAAACCTCCACCTCCTATAGGACAACCCTGTATGTCTGCAGGTGGACACATACACAAAAAGGGGCTGAGATGGGTTTGGGGCGTGCATCCCCAAATGGTGATGCTGCTGTGGAAAGAGAGGGGGAATAGTCCAGGGCTGAGGGTACCCTGTCAGGAGCACTTTGTTTATATATTTTTTTAACAAGGGAGACATATTCAAGTATTATTTGCAGTTAAAAAAATATTTTTAAATTTTAAAATAAACTTTAAGTCCCAAGAAAAAGGAACAGCAAAAAGAAATTTATGTTTCAATCTCTTGGAGTCCTTCAAAATCTGACATGCTCATGCTCTACAGTGTACCCAAAGATAGGAAGTATCTTGCTTCGGGGATCAGAGATTTTAAATGAAACAAACCAATGAATATTATTGCCTGGTCCAAGGACAAGCGGGCCTCACCATCAAGGCAGCACGCAATTTGTTCAGCCCCAGCTGGTTCCCCCTTAGCTACTTAGAATCCTGTCACAGCATTGCTGGGACAGAACACCTCCCCCAAGACTTATTTTAGAAATGAGGAAACTCTAGACCAAAATGTGATTTTTAAAAAAATTTATTGAATATATTTGACATATAACATATGTATACATTTAAGGCATACAGCATGTTAAGTGATTTCTTATTTTGCTAAGGACTCAATTAATGGTACAGCCCAGATTACAAAGTGGAAAGCAAGCCTGCCCTGCCTCTAGATCCTGGGCCCAATGCCCAGGGAGGGGAAGGGACGGAATGGGATGGAGGGGGATGTCATCCTCTGGGCTCCCACTGGAAGCTGCAAGATGAGTCCTGGGGTCCAGCACATGGTGAAAGGAAGCCTTGTCAACATGGAAGGAGATCAAGGCAGCCAGGGGGTGCTGAAACCTCCTGTCGGGTCCAGCATCTCTGAGGTGATAGGGACACTTTAGGCGCTGCCCCCTCCCCCTCCTGAGCTCTCTCCACTCAAATTCCGAGGGGCTTTGGAATCACTAGACTGTCTCCTGCTCCCAGGAAACCCCAGGCTTCAGTGGAGCCAGGCGACTGGTCATTCATCATCCTTATCTCCTGGCTCTGGCGGCCCCAGGTCCCTGGCCTGGATGGGCCCAGGGGGCCAGGAGGTGCAGGGGAGGGGGTGGGGGTGGGGTGGGGCTTCGATAACAAGAAAAGCAGCTGTCCCCTGGGGCAACTTCAAAGTGCCTAGAGCTGAAATTTATGTGCAGAATTGTTCACATTAGGGGCCAGAGGGCCATTCATCCCACAGATATTTATTGAGCACCTACTGGGTGCCAGGCATTGGACTGGAGGAATCTTAAGGGCCCAAAGATTTTGTTGTTTATTAGGTTGCTATGTCTACCTCAATGGGCTACTATTGGTGGATGGATCAATGCATTAATTCATTATTTATTAAGCATCCACTGCATACTGAGGGTTTCTGGGGACCTAAAGCTGTTGAACAGTTAAATGAATATGGCCCCTTCTGTGGGCAGGCTTTGAGATCCACTAATGCAGTGGTTCCAAGCTTTGGAGTCAGGCAGACGTGGGCAAATTACTAAACCTCTCTGAATCTCAGCTTTCCCAGCTATAAAGCTGGGATAATAATCCACACCTATCCCATAGGGTTTGGGAGAGGATAAAATGAAAAGAGAAACTGTAGATCAAAAGCTTAGCCCAAGCCTGGCAGATGGTCAGCTTCTGTTTGCAGTTGATCAATATAATCCCTCATTTATTACGTATGTGCTGAGTACCTGCTATGTGCTGGGCAGTTGCTGGAGGAGCACCTGGCACATCGACCTTGGAAGGTTTGTAGGAGTCCATCCCTGTCTCCTCAGCTCTCTCCTTGGCCGAGGCTTTGAGTATTAAAGGGGGCTTCCTGCATGGGGCCCAGGAGAGGCACTGGACTTGGCCTTGTCAAAGCCCTTTCACCCCGACTCTAAGGGCCCATGAGGAAGGCTCGTCTTCTGCGGACCTGAGCTCGGTCTCCCTGAGAGCCCCTCATTAGGGCCCAAGCTCTGTTCTCTGGGCCTTCCCCAAACTCTCTGAGCCTCAGTTTATTCATCTAGGGAACAGGGATAGGAATAGTTCCTATCCTGTAAGGTTATTATGAGGATGAAATGAGATAAAGATTGTAAAGCACTTGGACCATGAAGTCTTTAATAAGTTGTCACTAATAACAACAAAGAATGATAAAATAATGATAGCCTTTGGGAATCAATAAAACAGGAAGAAGAAGAGGAGGAGAAAGGAGAAAAAAGGGAACAGAGCTGTACTTTT